AGCGTCAGATAAAATTTCACGCCGTTTAAAAGCGGATCACTCTTATCACGATCTGATGACGTCATTGTCCGCATTGGTGCCGATCCAGTGACGTAATCGGTAGCTGCGGAAGGTGGGTTCGGTCTTCGATCACGAGTTTTCACTGAGAGTCGGGGAGCGGCGTGGGTGCGGCACTTCCGAGGGAGGTCTCTAAGCTGTCACCGCCGGCTGGTTAACGGTGGACTTAGGCTCAGTTCGGCGGACCGGCACGGCGGCATATGTGACATAGCGGATCGACAAGATCATATTTGTCATATGATGGGTGACGCAGGGACGCTTATAAGACTTCTGAGAAGAAATGCTCTCTTTGGTCTCTGCCTGCCGCACCCTGGTAAGCGCTATAACACCACCAGAACTTAACCTGCGGAGCTTGACTATAACCTGAGACCGTTATGGGACCATGGGTTGCTGTTCGTCACACTCTGTTCCATACAAACCGCCTGACCACGGTCTCTCTCTTCCGATCCAAGTGTAGAGCAGCAGAGCAGCTCTCTGCCCACGCGGAACCGACAACCGAGACGATCATAACCACAGCTGCCGGCATTCCGGGTAATCCATCTGCAGATCCGGATTTCCGGATCCGGCATGTCCGGGTGTGTCCTGCGCAGCCGTATCCTGACTCCTGACTTCTGCAGGCGGATCCTCGAGTGGTTCCAGGTAAGGTCGTCACCCGTCGGTGCACGATAGGACCCCGGGCGAGACACTCCCAATGAACGTGTTTATGACCCGGTGAGTTGAACGTTCGACGTAACGTGAGGTGGCGGAGTGAGTAAGTGAGAGTTTACTTGCAGAGATTTAATAAGTTTAGTTATTTTCTACGCTGAGTCAAACCACGTACCTATGCCGGCACGGTGGTCTGATGCTGGCGTGGAAGGCATACGAATGCTGATGCGGTGGCTTGAGACGAAAAAAGCGTGACTTGTTGTCGGGGTTTCGTACTATCGAATTTAGAGAAAAGCCTTAGGTATACGGAACGCCTGGTAGATATGTATGTTGTCTCTCACACATCTTCTGACATGATTTCTTGCCATGTGATCGGCGTAAATCACACCCTAACTAAATAGAACAATTTGGGGCGACTGATACTCACTAAATGAATCAAAATGGGAACCGTCCCAGCGAAATTATCCTCAATAAACACATCACAAAAGACAGCAATTTAAGATACAAAAACCTCATTTAAAACCATCGCCGTGGTAAAGGCGACCGGTTAGGCATCACTGACTAGAAAGTTATACGATAGCGGCCAGTGAGGTAGCGTGTGTTCCATAAACCCGAAGGAGCGCATGCCAGTCTAGTGAAAACAGAACACGTAATGACCCGAGGTTTTCGGTCGACTGTCGCTCGTTTGAAGACAGTTAATTTGGTTGGAATGTCACCAGGGGAAGCGAGTCTAGGATGCCATCGGTTGGGCTACAGTGGTCTCTCAAAAGCCGCTCTCGAGAGTCGCCAGTGTTCTGGAGACAAGCTAACGCTTATGTTCGGGTTATTGGCAAAGAGGGAGTCCCTAAGAGCAGAGCTGATCATGCCAAAAAAGTACGTGTTTATTTATATCGCGTTTTATGTATGTAGTTACATTTTATGCATTCATTTGCTTGACATATTCGGACCTTTCTGGCACCTAATTGTTATAACATAACATGCATTTCATGTAACAATAGGCCACTTGGGCCCAACGAGGTAACATAAGACGAACAACCAATGTACATACATAAGAAAGCAACTCATAGACCGATTACACAATTTCATCGAAAAGTAGCCCACGTTCTTTCAAGTACGAGTCTAACTTAAGTTATGCATTCCTTCATTTTAACCCAAAAACAAATTATGCTTTCTTACACATAAAGAATTCCCGTGAGTAGCTGTCTCCCTCTCTCCTTCCTTTCTTCTGTGAGAGAGCGCCTGCCCCGCCTGGGGCGGTGAGAATAAGTCAAAACTCCGAGCCTCAGAATAGGAAAATAATTGGTGGAGCGATGACGACCTCCATCACACGCATGAGCTATACGCGCCGTCACGGGCCACCGACGAAGACAAGAGAAAAAGGACGAGGACCGAAGACGAGGGACGGTGATGAGACGAGAGCAACGAGGCCGAGAGAAGAAACGTGGACGGAGCCGGGGGTCAAGAGTGAGAGAAAATGGGACGATGACGAGTCACTGGGCAGTGACGGTAGACAAAGAACGACGGTGTGGCGATGTCAGCAAGATGCTTGTCTGTTGATTATGTAGATGTTTATAGCATTTACTTAAATGACACTCGCAAAATTGTCATCTCGTTAAGTCTTTATTTTGTAACGCAGGATAGATATTGTCAGGACAACCTATCACTCTCCGTACCAAAGACAATGTGAAAGGACGGTAGAAAAGGATAACGAGCTGGATGATGGATGGACCCTAAAAGACGTCGTAGTCGACAGGAAGTTCGAACCTTCTCAGGACTGGGTCAGGTCAAACCAAACCGGATTAAACCGGAATGTACATACCGTCTCAGGAGAGGACCGACCGCTAATGGCTGCCAGTAGGTAGAAATTGTAGGTAATTAGCATTAATTGCTTTTCAGAAATTTCTAGCATGAAGGAGCTTTCTGATCATGGTGGATGGAACCAGCGCGTAGGAAGTTATCAAGAAACCCATGCTTCAGAAATCGAAAAGCCAAGTCAATAGACAAGCCACCAACAATCGGATGGACACACAGAGACAGACAGAGAGACAGAGAGACAGACAGACAGACAGACAGACAGACAGACAGACAGACAGAGTCACACGGGCAGATAGAGAAACACAGGCACACAGACAGACAGACAGACAGACAGACACACAGACACATAGACACACAGACAGACAGACAGACAGACAGACAGACAGACAGACAGACAGACAGACAGACAGACAGACAGACAGACAAACAGACAGACAGACAGACAGACAGACAGACAGACAGACAGACAGACAGCAGCTCGGCCGTCAGGAGTCGGCGCCGCTGCGGCGGTGGCGTGGCTGTCGGCCGTTTGAGAGCCGCAGTGTCCGGTCTGAGCCACGCCTCCCCCCCCCCCCCGAGCACCGACGTGAGACCGGCCAAACTCGCAGGAACACCGGAGCACTGCCCGATGGAGCACTTATATGGAGCACCGCAGCACAGAACACTGACCTGACGCCATGTGTCACTGTTGAGGCGCGATGTCACACAGAGAAAAGTCACGGAACACTGGCGAACGAAGCACTTCTATGGAACACAGTCGGTCGGAGCACAAGAACACCACAGACATGGAACGTTGCTGGATGGAGCACGAGAACACCAAAACACCACTGGAAGGAGAGCTGGTGCACTACATAGAGCACTTGAGCACCAGTCACCAGCATGGTACACAATGCACGATTATTTAGGTCTTTTATTTTCAGCATATTCCTTATAAATAAATCGAGGCCACTTCTTTGCTTTGACTCAGAGATTGATCGATAATATTGGACATATTGGTGCATCTTGTCCCACTGACACGTGCCAGACGCCCCACAACTCCTCTCCAATCACCAGCATACACCCTCTTCCCCTCCGGAACTAACTCTATACCCAGTAAATATTCATCGCCACCGATACTGAGTGTGCGCCGCTCCCTCCCTCTCTCCCTCTACCCCTCTCTCCCCCGTCGACAGTTTCCAGCCGAACCAGACACGAGTATGGTCGGCAAGTCTGTGACCTTGAATGAAATTGGTCCCAGCCACCCTTCCCGTCGCCGTATTTGAGAGGGGGCCGGCCGAGCGCCCGGCCGAACCCGACCGCCAGACGGGGAGGGGTAAGGGGGCGTGTCCGGAGTCCTCACCGACCAATCACGGGCCTCGGCTGAGACCGCTGGGCCACGAGCTCATGATGGACCGCTACGGAGTCGACGGGCCGCGCAGGCCGAAAAAAAATCGCCGCACGACGCATGGACCTGATGTAAATTGAGTGTTGCGATCAGTTGTTTGATACAAGACATCTACCTGCTTCCAGACAATAAACAAATCGCATAACCTACAGCACCCAACTAAATTTGAGGCAATTTGTCGATCCTAGCATATCAACAAAGCTCGAATGCATGGCACTCAGCGGCAGTGGGCAGCCCGGGCGACGAGTGTGCACCTCTAGTAACCTGCCTGCCATCTGGCGGAGAATTAGGGAAACAAATAGCGGATCTCTCCATTTGTAAGCTGGTGTGCGCCGCGCAGCACCAAGGAACGACGGGCTCCTCCAGCTGCCTGCTGCCAGGCTCTGCCGACGCGGCGCAGGGAAGGGGGCGTACTCGCTCGTTATTCGACCGATGAAACCCGCTAGGTGTGATTTTTAGACCAGGGACCTCACAAATTTGATCAATTTAGTTTGTTCCCTGGAATAACTTCAAAGACCTAAGAGAGCAAGGGTGACCGAGTACCTAGGCGTAGCAATGCCAAAAAATGTAACCAGCATAGAAATTATGCGAATGCAGCGTGACTAAGAAGACGCACAAAAAGAATCACAGCCTGTCGAATATGCCAGTCTGGCCCACATGTGCTCGGCTGTCACAGAAGGCCGGCCGGCGGACAGACTCGGACGCACATGGCTCGCAGCTGTGACGATCCACGGCACCAGTCCGGGCCACTGTGGCCAAGGTTACCGCCCGGGGCGGGAGCGTGACACGGCCAACCAGCTCCTGCCCGGGACAGCAGCCCAAGGTCGCTCCACATGGAGACTTCCCTGCGGCAGTTACAACCGCCGTCTCCGCTGTGTCAAAGACCCGTTAGCCCTTGAGCCTTTATTCTCAGGGTTTATTATAGGGTTATAACCATAGAGTGCTTCACTAATTCCTTCCCACCAAAAGTGCTTGTTCCATCTACCCGTTAGAAACCTGCCCTACAGCTCTTCCCAGCTCTTTTCCTCCTCATCCTCCCTCTCTCCCGTCGCTCCCGACTCTACCCTCGCCCGCGCCCCCTGCTGGCCGGTGGACCTACCTCGGCAGCCAACTCCGAAGACACTTTCTTCCAGATGGGTCGCTTGCGGGTGTACTGACGCAGCGCGGTCTGTACGTCAGGACGGCGCCAGATCTTGAGGAAGAGCGCCGTCTCTGTGTCGCTCCAAATGGTCAGGTTCTCGTCCTCTCCGGCCAGCCTCTCCGGCCGCATGTCGCTCCTTCCCGCCGCCATCACAAATCGCTCTTTCTCTCGCCACGCGCTAAAACAAGCGAGACGTCCAGGGCTCTGCGCTCTCCAGAGAATATGTTCTCTGCACTGATCTGTATTCAGCACTAGGTCCGGTTCACAACTTGTGTCGCGGCGCGGATAGATCGGCTCCTCGACCGGTCTGTCGCCGCGCACGGTCGCGCACGCTCGCCGGCTCGGCTCGCTCTACACTACCCCGCCGTCGACGTTGCGGGCCGCGGCCGGCCGGCGACGCGACGGCCGGTTCTGTCGCAGGGGCGCGCTCAGGGCTGTCGGCACGGGGGGCGGGTCGGTGGCGGGGAGGGGAGGGGAGGAAAACGCCGTCGATGAGGGTGCGGCAGTCAATGCGGAGCGGACTTGTTGACGGAGACCGGTCTGGTCAGGAAATGGGTCGGCGATGCGGGCTTGGCGCGGCCTTGGCGGTGGTTGTCAGGCCCACTGCCGCCGCGAGCGGACAACCGTGCCTCTGACAGGGAGATTTACGAGTTAGGGTCTGCCCTCCCGTTACCCTTCCCATGTCCCTCGTTCTAACCAGCTGAGTTTCTCCATTCTACCACCTCGCTGCTCGCTCTCAGCCGCCTCAAAACCAGCCGTGCCCTCCCATCTCTCCTCTCTGGCGTCGCCCCTGGCGCCGCAGCCGTCCTGCCGCGCGGTGGTGTAAAACGCAGTTCACACTTGCCCGTAAGGTCTGCCGGTGACGGGCCCGACACCGTCAAAACGGCCGAAACCGACGGAGCGACGGCCGTCAGGTCGACGGGCATGTGTGAACCGGGGGAAGTGGGTGTGCTGACGTCATCGTTTGACGGCCCGCAACAGCTGACTGCGACGGCGCCGGACCTGACGGCCGTCGCTTTTGAAAGTTCAGCAATGTTCAACTTTTGACGGTGACGGCTCCGTCGTTTTGAAATATCTGCGTATTGGAAGTGTAGGGAGAGGTACGTTTTCACGCAGAATGAAGCTGCTATGCATTTTCAGAATATTTTTTATATTTTTTCATCCATTTGTTGAGGTGATTGAGCTAATATACCATGATATTTTAGATAAGATCCTCTAGGTAGGCCCCAACGTACACGTCAACGTAGGTCCCATCAGGTACCTATTCGGCTATACCTATTCATATTTGATTTCAATCCAAATGTAATTTTATTTGATAATGAAATAAAATTGTGTGGTGTCTGATTTATATAATTTTATTATACTATTCTCTGCCAGATTCAGGCAGATTCCCCCTCTCCTCTCGGACCCACATCTGCGTCCAGCAATCAGCATTCCGCTCACTTTCTTTGGATCCTTCACCCTGCTTCGTGAATGTCTGATTTATATAATTTTATTATACTATTCTCTGCCAGATTCAGGCAGATTCCCCCTCTCCTCTCGGCCCCACATCTGCGTCCAGCAATCAGCATTCCGCTCACTTTCTTTGGATCCTTCACCCTGCTTCGTCCCACTAGTGCCAGGTCAGAGCCTGCATAATGACAGCCTACATTTTTAGGCTGGCCTGATGTCCTTACAATGTGTCAATTTTTCTAGGATGGCTGACCTCCAGGAAATGCTCATCAAAGAGGTGGCAAAGTACCCGTGGCTCTATGACACAAAACATAAGAGCTACCGTGACATATATAAAAGGAAAAACTCCTGGGATCGGATACAACGCGAACTGGGCCTGCCTCCAGATGAAGGTAATGTATGCGCAGCAAATTGTTTGTGAGGTTCCAGTCCAGTCTCGAGAGGTACTCTCATGGTAGGGATGCTCCAGCTCAAAGAGATCCTAGATCAACTATGACCCCATCTCTCTCTCTCTCTCCCTCTCTCTCTCTCTCTCTCTCTCTCTCTCTCTCTCTCTCTCTCTCTCTCTCTCTCTCTCTCTTTCTCTCTCTCTTTCTTCTCTCTCTTCTCTCTCTTCTCTCTCTCTCTCTCGGAGCCATGTATCTTGTCGCCTGAGTACAGGGTCAAGCAAGTTCGTGATTTCATCAAATGTCTCGGGTGACATACGGTAGGCATCATGGAAAGCATCTGCATCCTGCCTTTCCTCTGCCCACAAAGCACTGAACTCTCCCAGCTCTTCTCTCCCCAAAACTGCTTGACGCACCCAAGGTCTTCTACGCCTTTCCACTTCACCTGCTTCCTGTTCATGCTGATGCTGGGCCATCAACATCATCATCATCATCTCATCTTCGTCATCTGAATTAATCTGAGCTTGAGCCATCCCTGAGAAACTAATCAATATCGAAATACAAACTCGTACTCACAATTATTCACGATCACACATCTACAACAATCCATAGAAATGATTTGACAGTGCTCCGGTTTTCGATCACAAGCGCCATTTCTGTCGCAACATTTGGTAGCCGATGGGAGCTACCAAATCTCAACTTTCGTTTGACGGGCTGCAGGCCGTCAGGTCGACGGTGACGGGCCCGACACCGACAGACCGACGGGCAAGTGTGAACTGCGTTACAGGCCGCCCGCCTGCGCCGCCCATGGTCCCCGAGGCCCAGCGCCGTCGGCCCGACCGCCAGACCTGGCCCACATGATGAAACGCCGCTGCGTGGAGGCTGGCGGGCCGGCGCCGGCGCGTCAGAAGCCGCAGGTCACGCATCGCTCTTCAAAAGGACATGGCTCATGGCTGGTGTGAGGGCTGACGGGACGGTGTGGGACTGAGAGAGGGAAGGCCGTGTATGTGTGCTCAGTCAGGGGCACACGAGGGTAGGCTAGTGGGATTGGTTGGTACTGGCGGTGGTACTGAGGCGTTGAACGAGTAAATTATAGGAACTTGATGATATCAGTGATATTGCCGATAGGTTAGACACCGTTTTGAAGAATATATGATGATACTGTTATACGAAAAAAAACGAAGATGGCGTATAACCGGCCTATAACCGCAGGTTGTTTGAAAAAGACAAAGGCTATTCGTTAGATAGGCATACCCGACCGCGCCGAGACACTTTGGGATGCATATTGTATATCTCTGCAAGGAAGATGCCTTGGTTGAACCACCGATCCTAAAATCTAACGGAACGGGGTACCGCGTGAGGTTCAGATCCGGTGTCCTCCGGGTCAGATCTGACAGTAACAGGTGCCACTGACACGTGACACATGACAGCTCCGCTGGCTGTCCATCACTCTGTCACCGACCCTTCTGAATTTGTCCGATCGTCCCACTATTCGCTCGCAGAACTGTTGAGTCCGATATAAAGATACTCAATAGCCCATGTCGTGGTGAGTTGTAATAAAATTGCGTGAAACCAGGCTGTGAATACAAAAAGCGTTCATAACTCATTTGCAAAACTTCATTTATTCCAGCATGAAACTAGATGGGTGGTCACTTGCAGCGGCATGAAATATTGCAGCGTTTTTCACATGACCCATTAAACATAATTCGCTTTGTTTCCACCAATAACGACTTCAACACATCAACGCCAAACTGTACCATAGCTACCACAACTAAGGACGAACTATGAATTTTGACAAACTGCCTGGGACGGCGCAGCCACGTGCCGAATGTCGTTAACTTAACCCCGCCGAGGCTACGGGCGGTAGGCGACCTTGTCATTTGCGGCTACTGACAGAGAGGGGGTGTCAGTTGCCATCGGTGCCACGAGACCGCCCCCGTCCGTCCGTAGAGAGCCGATTACAGTCGGATCGGGCACGCGGTGCTCCGATATGAACGCTACAATAAAAATGCAAATTTGAGTAACTAATTCAAGCTTATGTAATAAAAAAAAACTTATTTTATCCATTTTTTTTCTTCAGATAGTTAGCATACTTCATATCCTATTTCATACCAGCCTTATTTCATCAGACTTTTTGTAACAAAGTTTACAATCAACAAGTGAACGGGTAGAAACTGCAGTAATGCAAGAAGATTAAATACACGTTTTGATATATAGATATTAGATATTGAACTTTCATTTTATATAGGTACCTACATGTGATTAAAGTTTCTTTCGGCGTGCCAAAAAGCGAATCAAAATGATAATGCCTGGACAGCCTGGTAGTTAAAGCTGTTCAACTAGTCATTCTATGCCTTTTTTAATTTCTTTTAAAGACAGGTTAAAGGGTCAATGTTGTACGTAACTATATTTTAACCCTCGCCCTGGCAGGGCATTTTTCATAACACGGCCTGGCAGGGGGGGGGTCGATGCGACCCCCCCCCCCTTGCGATTGGCTCCTATGGCACCTAGAAACACCAAATTTGGTAGGTAGGTGGGCCCCCTGGAGTTCTCGCCCCTGTGCAAATTTGGTTGCTCTAGTTCAATATTTAGGGGGGTTTTGGGGGGTATAAATGTAAAAATTTCGCTAAAAACAGGCCAAAAGTTTTTCGCTTATAACTTTTGATCTAATAAAGATAGAGAAAAAAGAAAAGCGTCAGTGAACTCAGCACGTCAAGGCGCGTCGAATGATGTACTTTTTAGCTTGCTTAAGTCTACTTAAAGTTTTTCTTAAATTTTAAGTAAACTTAAATTAATAAATTAAGTTCAAGTTAACCAAACTGCATCATATCGCATATCATTCGATTCGGCTGATCACCAGGAACACAATGGTACCATTTTTTAAGCTCTAGCGTCATTATGTGCCAAGTTATTGGCAAAAACGTCATTTGACCTCAGTTGACCTCATTTGACCTGACCCATGGATAAGTACACCAAACAACGAAGCACCAAGTGACCTGCTGTTAAGTACCGTGGTTTCAAAGCACAAAAGTGATAGAACGAAGCGGATATCTCCAGTATTTTCCGAATTTAGTATTTTCCCATAGGCTTAACATTACGACGTAATGACCTCTAACTGACCTCAGGTCAGTGACCTAAAAAAAGCCGGAATATATGTTATACAACTCGGTGAACTTAGCACATCCTGAAAGTTTGAAAGAAATCAGTCGAAAACTGTGAGTTGGACAGGTGCAAAAAGAAAATTGAAATTTGACCATGACCTTGTACCGGTTTTTCTGACCTGGTGACCTGACCCAAGGTCACCCGGACCTGAAATTTTCAGGTCATATGTAAAAAGGTTGCCCCATAGGCTGTGCCAAATTTGGCGGCGCTGCGCGCCGCCGTTTTTACGCTATCTTCGAAAAACCTTAGGGGGGGGTCGCATCGACCCCCCCCCCTGCCAGGGCGAGGGTTAAACGGTTTCGAGTATATTAGATGCAGGGATCAATGGGTTCTATTCTCTGCGACTGGGTTGGTATAGG